TCGAACTCAAACTGTGAGATCTGAGCTGAAACCAAGAGTCAGCTACTTAACCAAGTAAGCAACCCAGGTGCCCCAACATTAATTTCTATATATTGATCTTGTACCTTGCAGTTTTGCGGAGCTTATTTATTAGTTCTAATAGCTTTTTAGTTAATTCCTTAGAATTTTCTATATATACAATCTTGTCATCTGCAAAAGTGTAACATCTTTACTCTGTCAAATCTATATATAAAGAGAGAGTCTGAAGAAACCAAGCCTTTAGGCTTAAAGGGCTTCACCCAGAAGTGAAAAACTAGGTTCTTGAAGTCCTTGGACAAACTCAGCTTGTAAGTGTTAGGAAGCCTGTCAATCAATGACTCACAAAGGCTTTTCAAGGGCAGAAGAGCCTGAACATTCAGCCAAAAGGATATGTACTGTAAAAAGAATAAAACTTCCCAGGATTTCTAGAATATCAGGGCCACTAAAAGTTTAATGGACTGTCACTTGTAAGTTTTCATTTCCTCGTCACAGCATCTGTGAAGTATAGTGAGAAACCAGGTATACTGCAGTGGGTAAGAGCGAGGACCTTAGATTCAGAAAGAGCAAGCAATCAGCCCAATCTAGAGTAGGACACATTCTGCTGGGAAGATGGGCTGGCTTCTCCATGAAATCAGTTATGGGAAGGAAAAAACCTGTGTGTTTGGGGGAGTGCAGGTCGGGCCATTATTGTCGTGGAAAATAGAACACTTAGAAACAGCCAAGTGCAATGTGTAAAACTGTTTGGATACTGATTTGAATAAACAGTAAAATGGCACTTTTAAACAACTGGAGAAAATTTTAAATGTACTGAACAGTGAATGATATTAAGAAACAAGTGTTAAATTTGTTTGGCATGCCAGTGGCATGGTGATTATATTAAAAAATTCCCGAGATGTATAATGATTATGAGCGAAATGATATCTGGGATTTGCTTAAAATACTAAATTTTGGAAAATGGAAGAGGAATGGATGACAGACGATTGGAAAATGTTCATTAGTTGTTTGAGATGGATGATATGTACATGAGGCTTCACTCTATTACTCTCTTTTTGCATATATTTAAAATGTTCAGGGGCACCTGGGGGGGCTCAGTCCGTTGAGCATCCAACTGTTCATTTGGGTTTAGATCATGATCCCAGGGTCGTGGGACGGAGCCTGTATTGGGCTCCACACTGAGCATGGGGCCTGCATAAGATTCTCTCTCTCTGTCTCTCTCTCTCTTCCCCCACCTCCACTGCTTGCGCACTCTCTCCCTCTCTAAAATTAAAAAATTATATAATGACAGATTTAACTGCACAATTAAAGATTTTCTGTATTGAAATATTCATCATTAATTGCAGTCTTTTTTTGTACCTGGGAACACTGGAAACAATAGAAATTTTGATTTTGGGGGTTTGATTAAATTAATTATGTACATCTAGGAATTTTATCTATAAAAATAATTATGTTTTTAGGTCAGGATCTATCAATTCTGGCATCATTTTGGAAGTTTTATGTAATGCAAACAAACGAGGAAGAAATCAGAGGTAAAAATCAGAAAGGTAAAATTTACCTCTGTGAACCATACACTTATTGACTCAAAAAAATCCAAGAGAATCAACTGAAAACTGAATAAACAAAAAGAGAATTCAAGATAAAGGATCTGAGTACAAAAGCTAACACAACAGCAACAACAAAAAGCAACAGCTTTCAAATATACATCTAATAGAAAATATGTTGGAAAAGACCCCATTTAAATGTAAAAATAATAATAAAAGGTAAACATCCTAAACTTGTAAAAAGTGTTAGCAAAAAATGAGCAATATCTTTAAGGTCACAAAAAAGTACAAGAAACAATATAAAGACATCTCTTGTTCTCAGATAAGAAGATTCAGTAGTATAAAGTAGTCAATTTTCCCTAATTAAGATATGGGGCCCTGGGGGGCTCAGTTGTTTTAAGTGTCTGACTCTTGGTTTCAGCTCAAGTCATGATCTTGTGGCTCATGAGTTCGAGCTCCACATCAGCCTGTGCAGACAGTACAGAGCCTGCTTGGGATTCTCTCTCAACCTCTCGCTCTGCCCCTTCGGGGGAAAAAAAAACTTAAAAAAGATATAAACGTAATGTGATCTAAATAAAAATACTAGCAAGACTTTTTACAAATGACAAAACTGATTCTAAAGAGCAAATGGAAAAAGCAGAAAGCAAGAATACTCAGGAAGAATTCTAGAAAAGGAGAGTGATGAGGGGGAAGACAAAACCATTAGACATGAAAACGAGTATAAATGTGTGATATTGGACAAGTAGAGATATTCACATTCGTGTACCAGAATAGAAAATCTAGATACAAATCCAAACACATACAGGAACAGAGTGAATTTGTTGTCCACGTATATCCACATATCTGTACCAAGGGACATTCTAAAAGATGCTCTTTAGGCAGAAGGGAAAAAAAAAACCCAGATCAAGATAACAGAACTGTGTAGATTTTCCCGGTGGGGAATTAGACATCTCTCAAGCTCATCCGTCTTTGGCTTTTTCAAAGCTCAACAAAAACTACTGGCAGATTGCTGAAAGTTCTCTCTCATGCCTGCACATTTGAATATGCTATTCTCTGGGTCCAAATGCCTTTTCCCACCTCCCCATCTGCCAGACTCCTACTTAATCTTCAAAAAAGTTCAGGAGTCATTCTGTGCAATATTCTTCCTTTGAGAAGAGATGGAGTATGCGCAGTGTCTCCTAAGTGTTGACTTTTCTCCAGTTCCTGCCTCTCCATTTTGTCCTCCATCTGTTCTTTGTTCTTTACAGCATTGCCAGAGGAATGTTGCTAAAATACAGATCTGATCATGTCTGTCTCCTTCTTAAAAATACTTGATGTCCACTAAATGCCTGTATATCTAGGGGCGCCTGGGTGGCTTAGTCGGTTAAGCGTCCGACTTTCACTTGGGTCATGATCTCGCGGTTCGTGGGTTCGAGCCCCGCGTCGGGCTCTGTGCTGACTGCCAGCTCAGAGCCTGGAGTCTGTTTCAGTCTGTGACTCCCTCTCTCTCTGACCTTCCCCTGTTCATGCTGTCTCTCTCTCTCTCCTAGAAATAAATAAAACATTAAAAAAAATAATAATAATAAATGCCTGTATATCTATAAAATGAAGTATGAGCTTCTTAGACATGGAAGGCATTCAAGGCCTCCCAGGATTTAACTCCAATCCACTTTGCTCACCTCAGATCTACTATAGATGCCTTGTACCCTACCCTTAGGTAATGCAGCCCCCTCACCATTCCTTAGCTCTCTTGGTTCGCCCAAAACTTACTGCCTGATTTGCCCTCCCTCCATCTATTCCACCCCACCTCCATTTTCCCCACCCATTCAGATCTTTCAAAGCTCTGTTCTCAATGAAGCCTCTTCTAAAATCCCATTAAGAATTAATGATTCGTGGGGCACCTGGGTGTCTCAGTCGGTTAAGTGTTCTACTTTGGCTCAGGTCATGATCTCACAGCTCATGGGTTTGAGCCCCCTATTGGGCTCTGTGCCGACAGCTCAGAGCCTGGAGCCTACTTTGGATTCTATGTCTCCCTCTCTCTACCCCTCCTCTGCTCGTGCTCTCTCTCTCTCTCTCAAAACTGATTAAACATCAAAACATTTTTCTAATAAAAAAATAAAGAAGTAATGATTCACGGGGCACCTAGGTGGCTCAGTTGGTTAAGCCACTGACTCTTGATTTTGGCTCAGGTCATGATCTCATGGTTCGTGAGATTGAGCCCCATCCCAGGCTTGTCACTGACAGCCTGGAGCCTGCTTGGGATTCTCTCTCTCCCTCTCTCTCTGCCCCTCCCTGTTTGCTAACTAACTAAATAAATATTTTTAAAAAGAATGAACTTTTCATTCCTGAGCTTGCATAATTAGCATTTATTTCATCATGGGTTCATATTTTTTCACTAGTCTATAACATTCTTTTTTTAATTTATTTCTAGGAGAGAGAGAGACAGCATGAGCAGGGGAGGGTCAGAGAGAGAGGGAGTCACAGACTGAAACAGGCTGCAGGCTCTGAGCTGGCAGCCAGCACAGAGCCCGACGCGGGGCTCGAACCCACGAACCGCGAGATCGTGACCTAAGCGAAAGTCGATGCCTAACCGACTAAGCCACCCAGGCGCCCCTAGTCTATAACATTCTTGAAGTCAGAGCCATGTTTTACTAGTTTGTTCCATCCTCCTACCGTTTAATACACTGCTTATGGGGCACCTGGGTGGCTCACCGTGGTAAGCATCCAACTCTTGATTTGGCTTTGGCCATGATCTCATGGCTCATGAGTTCGAGTCTCATATGGGGCTCTGTGCTGACAGCAGGGAGCCTGCTTGGGACCCTCTCTCTCTCTCTCACCCCCTGCCCCTCCTCTGCTCATGCTCTCTTTCCCCTTCTCAAAATAAATAAACATTTTTAAGATGTACTGCTTGCAACAGGGTAATAAATATTTACACACAAAAGTAAATAATTTTTGTATAGAATGAAATAAAAGAGCACCTGATGCATGCTAAGTATTGAATAAATGCGAACTCTTTCTAGTGGTGATATTAGGTACTCAATAAACATTTTGTGAAAAATGGCAAAACCGGTTGTGCAGTCTTTTAGAGTTAATAATGCTGCTTGGACACCATTATAAGAGTTTCCTCTCTTGATGACAGCAACCGTTTAGGCTGTAGAACTGCAGAAAGGGCCCTAAGGTGCTTTTCAAGAGCCAGGCTCATGTGTCATTAATCTGGTTCCCTTACAGATAGAATTATATACCGAAGTCTCCTTATCTCCATGGAATTCCCCAGATTTACAAAGTTCTTAGTACACAGCAAGCACCTCATAAATGTTGGCTGCAGAAATGAATGAAGAAATGAATTAGGGTGAACTGTTTCTGTGACGGTCGCTCCAAGCAGGCGGGGAGCACACCAAGTAGAAGGACTGTGTGGGGATTTTAATCTTTCTGTCTCCAGCACCCAGCAAAGCATCTGCCACCAAATGAATATTTACTAAATAGGTATTTATTAAATTAGAGACAGATAAATACTCGGTTTACTTTAAAAATGCAAAGAAGGCAAAAGGAAGCATATTTCTAATGTCACATAAACTTGTCCCAAAGATTTGTGAATATATTTATGAACCAGGGTGGAAAACAGAAGTTTCTACCTTCAGGATCCAGAAGGGAACTTGGAGACTGAGAGGTCAGGTCCCCTTAGTCCTCCAGAAGGTGAAAGCTAACTATCCTGTGAATAAGGATCCATCGAAAGATCTCCAGCCTCTGACTACATGCACAGCATCAGCCATGGCAGCAGTCAGGGCGGGCTGTGGTCATGTCTCTTAGCCGAAGGACGCACGCTTGTTAGGAAAATTGCTACTGTGGCCACGATGACAACTCAAGGCCTTGGGTGGAGAGAGGGAAAGCAGTAGGAGTGTCACTCAAAGCACAAACAAATGGGGAAGCCGACTGGACTATCTCTATATTGCTACTTCTGCCTCGAGAGAGGCACACCAACTCCCTTCCAAAGTGCACCGGTACGTCGCACCCTCGTAGAAGGAATGGAAGAGCAGGATGAGGCTGGCTGGCCGAGGTCACATCTTGGGGAAGCTGGCCAGGTTGGCGATGCCGCAGGCGTTGTTCTTATTCCGAGCCATGAGGATATAGCCTTTGTTTCCCCAGTTTTCTCCCCAGCTGTGGGGTCAGTGAAGGAAAAAGTTTAGTACCTTCAGCGTATTTATTCATTCAAACACTTAACTGACTACGGGCCTAGGTACTGGTAGTGTAAAAAACAAATAGGGGCACCTGGGTGGCTCAGTTGGTTGAGTGTCCGACTTTGGCTCAGGTCATGATCTCACCGTTTGTGGGTTCCAGCCCCGAATCAGGCTCTGTGCTGACAGCTCAGAGCCTGGAGCCTGCTTTGCATTTTGTGTCTCATTCTCCCTTCCCCTCCCCAAAATAAATGTAAAAAATATTTTTTTTAAGTACAGTTTTTGCCTTGAAGAGTTTAAAGTAAAGAAATGGAGAGAAGACAAAATGCTATAGGCCTCAAAGGTAGGAGAGCCTGCTTGGGATAAAAGGATCAAGGCCTAATGCAAAAGGCGGCATTTAAAGTGACCCAGGGGCGCCTGGGTGGCTCAGTTGGTTAAGCGTCTGACTTTGGTTCAGGTCATGATCTCAGAGTTTGTGGGGTCGAGCCCCGGGTCAGGGTCTATGCTGACAGCTCAGAGCTCTGAACCCCCCGAGTGTAGGCCTCCTGCTCCCTGGAGGGCGCTGAGGACAGCAAGTTTAGGTAGTGCTGCCACCAGGCTAGTACTGGCCAGTGCGGAAAGGAGATGTGGGATTCTCTGCGTCTACCCCCCAAAGTCACAAGGGGCTAAAGAGAAGAGGAGAGGCGAATACCCTGTAGTTCTGTTTCTTCCCAATAACAGGGAAGGAAACACTAATTGTTGTCGTTGTTGTTGTCATATCTACTTTCTGAAAAGTCTTCCTTTTCACATGCTTCAAAATTTGGGGCCAGTTTTTATATGTGTTACCCTAGCCTCTTGGGAAGGGCAAAAAGTCGCACAAGAGGATGTTAAACCTGTACGTGGTTCCCGACTGCTTCCAAACAGACTGATGACACAAAGCTCTCTAAGAAACTGGCCCCATTATGGAAAAGAGACAGAAAAAACAATGTAATGCCAAACCTCCTCCCAGTTTCCTGTGCTACTGTCTGTTCTGGTTAGTTAGGTCCGCCTGCCTCGGGGGCCGTGAGGTCACTGGAGGCAGACGCTCGCTCACGCTCATGTGACTGAGCCCTTGCACGCAGAGCAGGCGCTGGGCAGCATGAGTAGCCCCATCTGCCCGTGAAGAGCCTCTGACTGGGAAGGGAGCACTAAAAAGCCTGAGGCAACTTTCTCTTGAGCTGCGAGCAAGGAATGCTGGGAGGCTGGAGCTGAGGTTGTACAGTAATAGGGTGACTGAGAGACAGACTCTGGGTCCCCATCATTACCTGTTTTTAATTATCCAGTGCTTGCGTCCTTTCTGGGCCCCGTAGCCCACCGCCAGAACCGCGTGGTTCAGGTTATCGCTGTTGCAGTTCTCATCGTAGTACACACCTAGGGCCCAGAGCGTCAGGCTGGGGCCCCGGGCAGCCCCGGGGTCTCCCCACTGCAGGATCCTGCCCACTTGGGGGGGCCGATCACCGAATGGCCGCTGTGTGCGTCTGCCTGGCAGCCTCAGTCTCAGTGTGGGGCCTCAGTACCCCGAGCGCTCAGCGGCCTTTGCGGCGCTGCCCGCCCATGTCGGGGGACACGGGCGACTGTGCTAGATAGGAGCAGCTCCTTACCTTTGCTGTAAAACTGGAAGGAGGTCAGGCTTGCATCAATGGCCACAGAGACGGGTCCCACCCGGGCCACTGCCCTCTTCAGGGCTTTCTCGTTCCCCTCGGGGATCTCTCTGTACCCTCTGCACTTGGCCGCCTTGCCTGTCGGGTTGTACATACAGCTTTCATCCTGGAAAAGACAAGGTTGAGACAGGACGGGACAGAGCCAAGGGCCAGGGGCTGGGACATGAGCAGCTTCCCCTGAGCCGTGGCGGGGGTCACCCGACAGGGAGGGCCTGTCTTTGGGGGGGACGTCTGTTCTCTCCTCCCCGTTTTAGACAACCAGAAACAAGAATATGGAAAGCGGACACCTCACGCATATACAAAAATCAGCTACAGGTTATTTTAAAGCATACGTGTGAGAGGCAACACTGAAACTTGAGCGAGAGGACATTGTTACTCCCTCAGGGTAGAGAGAGAGAGCTGAAATAAGATGTTTCTAAAGGCACGAATTGGGGCGCCTGGGTGGCTTAGTCGGGTAAGCGTCCGACTTTCGCTTAGGTCATGATCTCGCGGTTTGTGGGTTCGAGCCCCGCGTTGGGCTCTGTTTCAGAGTCTGTGACTCCCTCTCTCTCTGACCCTCCCCTGCTCACGCTGTCTCTCTCTCTCTCTCTCTCCTAGAAATAAAATAAAAACATTAAAAAAAATTATTAAAAAAATAAATAAAGGCACGAATCATCTCTGGCCACATCGTACGTGTGAGCCTCAGAAGGCAGGGAGGCCCCAGCTGCCACGTGGGGAGGAGGCCTTGGGCCCCAGCTGCCACGTGGGGAGGAGGCCAAGGCCGTGGCCCAGCCTGGGCCTTATGCGCATATACTGGGGGGACTAGCGTGAGGAAGAGTTTTCGCTCGAGCTCTCCTGAGAGACTTTGGTAAAAGCACAAAACGTGACCCGAAAACAAGGTGAAGCACTGAGCGGCCTCGCCCGTGGGTTACTAACACTGTGTCTCGGAGGTCTAGTCAACAACAGTATGTGTCACTGCAGTTACACAACCTCAGGGCAGCGCACATCAACATGGTGTATTCTTCGTGGCGATTCACTCTCCTCGGGCTCCCCTCCAGAGCCTTCCAGCTGAATCTACGAGAACGTATTGTCGGACTACTGACAATAATGGCAGGATGAGACACGATGTTCTAAGACTTCCGAGCCTCCTGTCTCAGGAGTCCTTTGTTCCCTGACCCGTGATGCCACCCAGTGCCAAAATTCGTGCAGACTTGTAAGCAAATAACAATCCCTTGGGAATGGATTTGGAACAATGACCTGTGACAATACTTTAAAGTCCACATAAGCTGCATTTAGGCCGGAATGGACTTAAATTACTGTGTTACCCGACCACTCCTCTAGCAGCCCTCTTTCCTGCTTGTTTCTCCTCGCCTCCCCCCGTTCACTCATCCGTGTGTTCACACGAGTGCTTCTATTTTTAGATAATAATGGCTTTTAAAAACTGTAAAGTAGACACAAGCCCAAGATTCAGAATATTATAAATGGAATATGTGTCTCATATGGCTAAGTCTTCATTTTAATTGATTATGAGACCAAACTCATTCCACGTTGCTAAAGAGATCATTTGAGGGGCAGGCTAACAGAAATCAGAAGTCAGATGCTCTTTCTTTAAAAAATTTTTTTAAAGTTTATTTATTTTGAGAGAGACGGAACAAGTAGGGGAGGGGCAGAAAGAGACAGAGACAGACAGAATCCCAAGCAGGCTGACCCCAATGTGGGGCTGGAACTCACAAACTTTAAGATCATGACCTGAGCTGAAACCAAGAGTCAGATGCTTAACCAACTAAGCCAGCCAGGCACACCAAGAAGTCAGATGCTCTTTCTATCCCAAAGTAAGATTTATTATGTAATTTTCATTCATTCAAATTATTTAAGCTTTCTGAGTTATTAAACTGTCTCTCAAGAAACTGGTTAATATAGTACCAAACAAATAAGGTATCAATGGATGATCAACTATTAGTTCTGATAGTGTTTAATTTCTTTTTCTTTAATATAGTTACACAATCCTTTAAATTGGCTGCCTGGGTTACTTAACATGGAAAAATTGTAAGCAGAAACCTGGCTGGGGTTGTTTTTGTTTTGTATGCACTCTTGGGATTTAATGTTTCAATCTCATGTGATGACAAAAACTTGTCAAAAGAGTATTTGAGAGTTTAAAAAAGAATATTTTGCTATGTTCGGGTCAGCTCACTGATGGGCCTGCCGTGGTCAGAATCTGAAAGCTCCTCTGTCGGCAGCTTCAGCATGCTACCCTAAAGTTAGCCCCTGATAGTAAGTAGCAGCCCCAGAGTTCAGACGTGGACTTGGGATCCAGGAGTTCTCAAAATTGTATACGGATTAAGGAAGTTTTTTTTAGGTACACCTCCAGTTTCTCTGCCTTGTACACCTGAGAGCTGTGAAACCACAGCATGGAATAATAATGGGAGGAAATTTACAGATTAACGACTGTTTTGATATGGCCAATGTCCTGAAGATGCGACGAGGTGGCCATACGTGCTGCAGACTCAGTGACATGGATTTGCTCAGTCATTCGCACTAATGAGAATTTTATTGCAACAGACATCATTTCAGATGACTAAGCATGAATGAATAAAACTCACTGCTACTGGATTTTTTTTAAAGGCACAAATGGCAGAGGAAAACAGTCATTTTTACTAGACTGAAATTAAGAACTTTTCTGAGTTGATGGGGCGCCTGGGTGGCTTAGTCGGTTAAGCGTCCAACTTTCGCTTAGGTCATGATCTCGCGGTTCGTGGGTTCGAGCCCCGCGTCGGGCTCTGTGCTGGCTGCCAGCTCCGAGCCTGGAGCCTGTTTCAGTCTGTGACTCCCTCTCTCTCTGACCCTCCCCTGCTCACGCTGTCTCTCTCTCTCCCCCACTCTCTCTCCTAGAAATAAATAAAACATTAAAAAAATTAAAAAAAAAAAAAGAAGGATATAAAGAGAGTAAAAAGACAAATGTCCACCTACAACACACAGTATTAGTATCTGGATATCTTTTTTAAATTCCTAAAAATCGGTTCGGTCAGACTGGCTCAGTCTGTTAAGCGTCTGACACTTGGTTTTGGCTCAGGTCATGATCTCACAGTCCATGTACTGGAGCCAAGCACTGGGCCCGCAGCTGGTGCAGAGCCCGCTCGGGATGCTGTCCCTCTCCCTCTCGCTGTCCCTCCCCTGCTCACGTCTCTCTCTCTCAAAAAAATAAACTTAAAAAAATTCCTAAACATCGTGAGAAAGAGCAAAATAACCTAATTAAAAATGTGCCAAAGATACAGTCAGTTCGTGAAAGAAGAAAGGCAGATGGCCAGATAAGTACTGAAGAAGATGGGAATTGGGGAATTCTGATGCACTTCAGGTGGGGATACAGACGTTTCGAAATGTCTCGGCAAACAGTGTGTCATTACCTAGGAAAGCTGAAGAGCATGCGTCCCAAGACTCAGTTCTGCTCCAGGGTATTACATGCTGCTAAGCATGTGGCAGCTCAGTCTCGGCGCTGCTACGTAACTAGGGGTGTGAATTCAATCACCTGTAGTGTCTCCTTCAGTGTCAGTGTCCTCGCGTGTAAAGGGGGGAAGTCTACCTCACCTTCTGCCATGAAGATTAACATGTGGTTCAGTACGTAACTTGTGTAAACATTCCCCAAACCCTCGCTGAGATCATGCAAAATAAAGGCACCCGGTTTGGTAAATTAGCGTGGGGCGGGCCTGGGTCTCTATGGGAGTGGAGGAGCTGAGCCGCAGGCTGCAGAGGGCTATTTGGCAGTCTGTGGGGTCACCTGTGCTGTTTTCACCAGGGCAGAGAGGCGGACAGGGCTATGGTGGCCCTGGGCCCCCAAGTCTCCAAGGCTGGGAGACTCTTCCTGGCCTCCTATAGGAGATTAGCCCATCCAGGAGGCAGGATAGGGCAAGAGAAAACAAGACGTATGGGACGTTTCCCCTACAGAAGGCTCTGCCGGGGAGGGAGGAGCCATTATGGGGCTGTGGAACCCTGCGGGGCGGCCTCACCTGCCCCACGTACGGGTAGGCGTCTTCAGAGTCAATGCCCCTGTTCCTCTGCACGTACTGGAAGGCATTGGTCATGTAGCCCCCTCCGCAGCCGTCATTCTCAGAAACACAATCCACAAGGTTCTGGGGACTCAGATTTAAGAGTTTGCCAGTTTTCTTCTTGAGTTGGCCCTCCAGGGCGCCCACAGAGCTAAAAGCCCAACAGGAACCGCACTGACCCTGAGAAGCGTAACAGAGAAACTGTCAGGCATTGCTGCTCACGCTTTTTGTGTCTTCCCTCTAAACTGTCTGATGGAGGGGCGCCTGGGGGCCTCAGTCGGTTAAGCGTCCGACTTCGGCTCAGGTCACGATCTCACGGTTTGTGGGTTCGAGCACTGCGTTGGGCTCTGTGCTCTGACAGCTCGGAGCCTGGAGGCTGGTTTGGATTCTGTCTCCCTGTCTCTCTGCCCCGCCCCCCCTACCCAGCTCACACTTTGTTTCTCTCTCTCTCTCTCTCAAAAATAAACATTAAAAAAATTTTTTAAACTGTCTGATGGAACTCCATACATGTTACAAATTCTAGCACACACATCCCCTTTTCTGTGATGTCTTCCTGTTTCTCTTCATCTAATTGTTGCACTGCTCTATTGCTATTGTTTCTGTTGATAACTATTGTTACTCTTGTGACCATTAGCTGTAGTGGAGCAGGGTGCTGACTGCCCACAAGATATGTGACCTTGGGTAAGTTACTAAGCCTCTCTGTGCCTTAGTTCCTTATCTGTAAAATGTGGATAATAATGTACTTAATTATGGAGTATGGAGATTTAAAAAGTTAATTCATGTAAAGGATTTATAAGTTTCTGACATACAACGATCTCTCAAAAAGTGCCGTAACTATTAGTATTTGTGCAGCTAGATTGTAGATTTTTCTTTCTTTCCTGTTCTAGTTTTTAACAATGAGGATTTCTTGAAGACACAGGTTATGTCTTGGCTAACTTGAATCTCCACTGGCTAGCACTATACCTGGTCGGTTCTGAAAAAGATGTGCTTCCTGAATGAGTGTTAAATCAGTTCATCTGGTTGATAAAATCAGCATTAATGTTGTGGGGAAGCTGGCCTTCTCTTGCTGCTAAGAATGTTAAGATTATAAAAAAAATTTTGGATAGGATTCTCTGTGACCTAGCAATTCCAATTTTAGGGTTTATTTTGCAATAATATTTGCACATGTTTTCATAAACATATGCACAAGGGTGTTTACAGCAATGCTACTTGTAAAAAATAAGAGAAACAACAAAACTGTACAAAAATAGGTGATGACATAAATAACACAATAGGCTACCTTCTCTTAGCACTGGGACACATCCCTTAATTCCTTGCCCTGTCTTCCCAGTTCATGCCTAGTTAAGGACGAAGACACAGAAAGAAACAGGTCATGCCCGCTTACATTCCTGTCCCCTGGAGAAAGGAGCATACCTGGTTTTTGACGGGAGTAACATATCCTTTCTTGCGATAATCAATGGAGTCTGGGGCTCTGCTTTCCCAGTCTGGGACATAGAGGGTGTCATTACTGCGGGAACGAGATGGGGGCACTTTGAGTCCGGTCATCTTCTGAACCACCTCTTCACTGGTCTGAGACAAGGAACACAAAGGCCAGCCGTGAGCAGGAAACCAAGGCAAGCAGGGCAGGCGGGCCAGGAGCTGAGGGTCAACTCACCATGTCCCCCAGGTGGTTCATGGCCAGTTCATATGTATGGACGCCAAGAGAGGCCTCAAGATTATGGATGGAAATATGCTTCAAATTCTTTTCCCATATTAAACGCCGAGAGATTTCGTCCACCTAAACGGAGCAGAGTCAGGAGTGGCAAAGACTGCGTCCTGTGTACACGGTCACATAAAAAATACTCTGGAGGTTTTTAGAAAAAAGATGAAACTTACAAACATACAGTTTTCTGTCCAGTTGGGGAACTGACCATGGGGTTATTAAGAGCATGCGAAAAGAAATGTGTAAACAAATACAAGTAATAGAAGGCAAAGCTCTGCAGAGATATGTAGAAAAATTGCTTACGGATTAACAGTATTAATCTGAGAAGTCTTCCCCAAAGAGAAATATGACAATTATAAAGAAAAGGAGGCTAGAACTGGAGGGAGGGTGAGTGGAAGAGGAGGGATGAAACTGTCAAAGAGAACAGGGCAGGTTTGCTGGCTGGGATGGCTAAGGTATTTAGACCGAGAGGGGCTTCTGGAAGCTCGGACTAGGGTCTGGAGTGCCGGCTCCCCACGCTTCCCCCCAGGGCCCCAGGCACCTTGCTGTTATACTGCTTCCCGTAGGTCTTCTTCCAGAGCTCCCACTGCGTGTCCAGGGTCTCCTCGGGGTACAGGGCAAAGCTTGCCATGGGCAGCAGCAGTAGAACCTTGAGCCCCCACATCCTGGGGAAGGGGATAGTTAGGGGAGGTTCTTGTTTGCCAAGGGCTTCACGGCCTGGCGTGGGATGAGGAAACAGCTGGACCCGTATTCCCAGATGGCTGGCTCTTAACCTTTGGGAGCCATAGACTCCTTTGAGAAGCTAATAAAATCCCGTAAGCCATCACCCAGGAAATGCATGTGCACATGCAACGATTCTGGGGACTCATGAACCCCAGAAAAGAACCTCCTCCTTGGGACCACGAGGCAAATGACAAGAATTTATAAGGAGGGGATACAAAGAACTGAGAGTGGTTTGTGAATGATAAAACAAGGACAGGAAGGGTCTGGGTTTGGATTGAGTGCTGGCTGGTACATCTGATTTCAAGGATTTTGACCTAGGGAGATTCAGCGCACACACACACACACACACACACACACACACACGCACGCACGCATAGAAAACCGGAATTGGGGGCAGACCGGACTCGGTACCTGTCTCCTAATGTCCCCTGCAGACTTGGAGACGGACAAGGTTGGAGGTTGGAGGGGGGCTGGAGAATACACAAAGGAGAGATTTCCAGCTAAGTTTTGTTTCCTATTTATTTCTTCAAGGCATTTTTCACTCCGTTGCCTGAATTCTGATACTTTTTCAGATCTTGCCAGGAGAGGACAAGGGAAATATTTCCCATTCTTTCTGAGATGTTTACTATCTCCTTAGTCATGTATTTCTTCCTCCTTTCTCTTCCTGCTCCCTCTTCAGGCCGGAAACTGTCCTAATCTCAACCAGATACTCTGGGAAGGAGTTTTTCTTTCTTCTTCCTGACAGCAAAAAACCTCTGTGATGGCCTCACAGGACAAAAACCTCACAACCAAAGTTTGCTAGAAAAATGTTAAGACCCAAAAGCAGTGTTCTATGACCATTAAATTAACAGCTTTTTAGAAGTTTACTCTAGCTTCACTTGTGTTTCTTGCAGCAGCTTGCTAGTCCCATGCTCTCCATTTTAAGAACAATTTACAGTCTGAAGCAAGTCATTCGGTTTGCATAATTTTTTAATTTACAGTCTGATTTTTGTGTAATCTTAGACTGGCAAAACATTCTACAGTATCTGGAGTGTTAAGGGCTTTGAGAAGGAATAGAAAAGTAACCTCTGGGCACCACTCCTCCTCCCTGCTGCTAAGTTAACTCTTTTGGTACCTTTGGCCAAAACCACAAACCCTACAGGGAGGGGCCACCCTTTGAGGGAAGGGTGAAGGATTCCCTACAGCCTGGGGTTTCACTAACAACCATGTATACAGACATAGAAATCAGAGAAGGAGTCCTAAAAATTTCCAGCAAATTTTATTTGGGCAGAAAATGACCGAAGGGCATACTGTTGTTTTCACCCGCACAACTACAGATTTCACCGTGATCCCCAAGTTGCTACATCCCTAGTACCCCTAAAACAGGCAAAGGAAGGAACGAGAAGCAAGTAGAAAATTTTACCTGCTGATGGGGTTCTGTGCTCCGGGCTCCTTTCAGCTGGGGAGTGTGGATCTTGTGGGCAGATGACTAGGGGTGCTGGATTTATTTCATTAGGATTGCGGAAGTCCGTTCCAGCCGTTGGCTGGAAAATGTGAACAGGATAGGGAGGCGGGGAAAGAAATGCTGAGAAGCAGGGTTGGAGAGGAAAGGAAGAAGCAGACTCGCAGGGTTTCTGTGTGTGTGTGAAGTGTGTGCATCAAGGCGGAAAGCGGCCATTTCGTTCCATGTGACTGTCTTCGAGGGCAGACAATGACTTCCATACATGTTCACTGGGGGGTGGGGGGGGCTTACCTTCACCACGGTTACTGGGACGCAGTCCTGATCCCTCCATCTTTACTATATGGTATTTATTATATTAAGGATTACATCTTTTCCTGCCTTTTTCCTGTGATCACTCATCTCTCCAGCTTTGAAACCTCAGTTTTCAGATTTGTGTCTGACCCTCAGAGCAAGGACGAGGAAATAAACACAGAAGACTAGAAAAGAGTGTAATGGAAACCACAGGCTCCAAAATCATTTGTACGTTATCAGTTTGTTGGCTACAAGTCGTCAGTACCTCTCCCAGCCTAACATGGTTTTCCTGAGGAAGGATACGCCCAGGAAGCCCAGATGAAGCTGGTTCTAAAAGGAACCCAAGGCAGCACTCCTCAGTGCCATAAGCACTGACCAACTCCCATGTGACTTCCTTGTTGCTAAAACTCTCAGATGGAAGGATGCCTGAACATTATCTGTTTCAGTTATTAAAATCCCCAATCCAGGACCAGTCACATGAGCTTCTCCAAATGATTCCCCCAACATCCAGGCATGTGACAGATCATGAGTCTAGTTCAGTCCCTAAACCACATCCCCAAACTCCATTTTCTTCCATAAAGAGAGGCGGGGGAAGAGGAAAAGATGGTCCTTGGAACAGAAAATACATAGGATCGATTTCGTCTCAAGCTAGATTGCATAGAGACCCTCAAGAACACAGGTTTATGCCTGTGAGTTTTAAGATTTGGCAATGAACCACATGGTCCTAGAGGGAAACCAAGTCCAGACCTGAAGAGTTTAAATTTCCCCATCCCAAATTCCTTTTATTCCAGGAGAGCAAGAGATTCTCAGGGAAGGAATATTTGGTCTCGCATTTCCTCTCCGTGTGCTCTGGGGACACGGGCGGCTCCCCAACCCCATCTCATTGTCAGATGTCCCTGCCAATTTTACTCTGAGTGAGTCAGGGTCAGGAGCACAACCAAGGAGTGCCGAGTGATCAGAGCCTTATGACTTCTGGATCCTGAGATTACATACACACTGTGCTTTATGTTTGTGTATTTGGAGGTTAGGCTATGGATTCAACTAGTGGATATTTGTGGGTATTTGTTGCTTATGAGCTGGAAGGGAATAATAAAGCCGCAATCAAGATCACACAACACAAGAAAGTTTACAAAAGGAAAAAATATCTTGTTTTAAAATCTTTGCTACATGTCATTATTTCTGTCCTGTAAAGCTCAGCACAGATGCCAGCAGTACAGAAATGGCCAACACAGAAAAAACAGAACAGTCAAAAATAAAACCCTGAAGGAAAAGCAGAAACAAAACCCCCAGAGCATCTTCTCCCTCCCCTCTCCTTCCCCCAAAGCCCTGTAATAACTGTACAATATTATAGTCCTGATCACATTTAAAAACAATTATTAAAAACAAGGATTCCATTGGAAACTCAACTTTTTGGCTTCTTAAATTGTGATATAAATATATATGTATATGGTATGTGTGCACATAGAATAAAAAAATAAACTGTCACCTTTTCAACTCCACTACCTGGCACCAGACCGGAGACAAAAGGGAGAAAAACCCAGCAATGATCTCAGCCTCTCCAAGGCCATCTATGCTCCTCGGTCTCCTATGGCTATGTTTAATGTCTTCTCCTTATTAAGTCAGTCTTGCACTTAAGATACTGGCCTGAGCCAATTAAAAAAAAAAAAAGGCTGATACACATGACTGTGACCTGAGGAAGGTACAGAGAGAGCAGTAACCTGTATCTGCATTTATATGGCTATAGTTAACTCCGTGACCCTGTTAGAATGGGGGTCCAGGCCCCATCTATCACATGGATTCATACTCTTGTATCATAAAGCAAGATCCAATCCGAAGATTGGAGGGAGCAGAGAGGAAGAACTCTAGGTCTAAAACAGACCCACGTCTCAGTTTCCAGCCAGACTGCACTGGGAATGGGACGAAGGAGGCTACTTTGCAAGACCTGGTATTTGGTTTAACCTCTGGCAGTGAAGATTTCCCTGGGACTGCTGATCCAAGAAGTTGAGTTTCCATGCAGAAAAAACCTCTACAGAACACACATCGTATGTGATTCTGACAGAAAAATGCAGCAAGTATGGCCAAGTATGGGGTTTTTAAAAGGGGTTTATCTTCCCACCCTAATCATCTGTCATGTTTGCAGACCTTCCATATAAGGTGAGAGCACCACAAGCGGGAATGGCCCAGCTTCATTACTAAATATGTTCGACGCGAGATTGGCCATATCAAAAGACTTTATGTATCTGCTTCCGGCTCCATGTTGGCTGGGCACAGATGTGAGTGCAGCAAAGACATTTATTTAAATACTCTTTGGCTGCAATACTAAGTGGGAAATACCTAGAAGATTTAACTCCTTAGGACTCTTTGAAAATTACATGGAAAAACAAAGATAAAATCTGGGACAAATTTTGCATAACTCCCTAATTGGGAGAAACAAACACAACCACACACGTGCACGCACACGCGTGCACACACACACGTGTACGCACTCATGCACACACATGCACACGTTTCCTTCTCCCTTTCTCACTTCCTCACTCACCAGGCAGCAGAAAGAGCCTATGCTCACGTCCTAAAGCCATATAGGTATATATATAACCTACCATGTGTCACGGTCCTCCAATATGAGGACATTCCTCCGCTCCCCAACCTTATTCAGAATTTCTTTCCAAAACCAAGCCATGGTATCCAAGGCAAATCGTGGATGAATGGATGCCAGGCTCTCCGACCTGCCTACTGACCCTGGCACAAATCATTTCTGCAGCAACCTCTGGTCAGGAAGTGTAAGGAAAGGCATTCTTAACTTCACCCAGCCTCCATTTTTCGAAGATCCCCAAAGCCTTCAGGATTCACCCCATTTCTTCTCAGAGGCAGGACGACAAGGAAAGGCCAGAAGGGGAAGGGGTACACAGTAGGGGTGAGGGAAGGGAAGGGAGAGGGACTTTTATTCTCTTTACAGAAAGATTTGTCTTAAAAACAAACGGTGATTTTCCTCCCCCACCCCTTATCCTCACCCCGCAGCTCTATTCTGAAAAGGAGGGAAACATAGTTAGGTCAGGAAATTCCTCGTTGTTGTAGCTGCTGCTCTGGTCTCCCAACATGGACAGCATCTCCTGGTGAGAGAAAAACACCAAGTCTGGTCACACGCCTCAATTGCTTTCCATCTCCTGAGCTTCTCCCCAGCACTCCCCTGAGGCATCGCCCCGGCCCCACAGTCTCTGTGGGCGGAGTGCCCCGAGCCTTCCCCACTCCTCCCCATCCCCCATCTCAGACCCCTTTATGACAACTCTGTTTCCTGGTCCTTCTCTGGTTTCCTCACACAGTTCTACATTTTCCCCCTTTTCCAGTCCTCCATATTTTCAGAAGGAGGAAGATCTGCTTCCCACATTGCACGTAACCCCCTATGAACATATATGGAGTGTCTCTTACCCTATTTGTTTTCCCCCAAAACCTGTTTCGCCTCTTTCAACCTCTGTCCTAAAAACCTCTTCCTCTGTCCTAAGATTATGCCATTGGCCCTGCAGTCTCCACGGGACTCAGGTGAATGGGCTTTGATAGCGATCGTCAGTACGTTTAGGCCCAAGCCACTGTGCAGTCGGTGTGGCCCCCTGGAATGGCTGACATGACTTCCTTCAACACCCTGGCACGGTGCTTCACATCGCTGCCGAAGGCTGCGCGGCACACACTTCAGTTCTAGTTAGTGACACGCAGACCTGCCCGTCCCCACTGTGTGGTCTCTCTCTGCTCCTCTGCGCACCTCACCTGTGCCAGCTCCCTTCCGGTCTCTGCTCCCTGGCCCTTTCCCTTCCCGTTTCCGGATTTCGCCCCCTCACCTGGAAGACCTCGGGCTGGCCCGGCGGCGGCGCTGCGGGCGGCTGCACGTGCTGCTCGCCGGAGCCGGAACGGTGGTGAGGCTGCTGGCCCTGCCACTGCGGCCAGACGCTCACGCCCTCTGCCGTCCGGGTCTGGAACTGTCCTGCAGTCTGTCCGCTCTCGGGAGCTGCAAATACAGCAAGGAAGAGCAAACAACTTTAAGCTACTAACTCCACTGGAGAGGAGGAACTCTCAGCGCCTCTTCTGTTTTAAACCCAGCCCCAGACTCATTTGTCTTCTCTGGGTAGCCTTTCCAAAGAGTTTTTTTATCACTCAGATTAATTTTTTAAAATGTTTTATTTATTTCTGAGAGAGAAAGAGAGTGTGTGAGCAGGGGAGGGTCAGAGAGAGAGGGAGACACAGAATCTGAAACAGGCTCCAGGCTCCAAGCTGTCAGTCAGCACAGAGTCCAACACAGGGCTCGAACCCATGAACTGTGAGATCATGACCTGAGCCGAAGTTGGACGCTTAACCAACTGAACCACCCTGGCGCCCCATAGATTAAATCTGCGTGCTATTTAATGTGTAATAACTTATGTGCTTTTTAATACATGATAAAGTCTTTTTCAAGGGGGTATGTTTTAAATTCCAAATGGACCGTCACCGAATTTCCCCATAACCAGGTCAGTGCATCCAGGACACAAGAAACTTTGAACCGCCAGATACTTCCTTGTTAGTAGTGTGATTTTCCTGTCACCCCCCTTCCTTCATGGTGGTGGTGGTGGTTGTTTGAGAAACAGGGAGAGTGTGCGAGTGTGGAAGGCAGAGGGAGAGAGATAGAGAATCCCAAGCAGCCTCCATGCCCAGCACAGAGCTCCGTGCAGCTCCATCTCACAACTGTGAGATCATGACCTGAGCCGAAATCAAGAGTTGGATGCTTAAAGGACGGAGGCCCCCAGGCGGCCCTGCCCTCCTTTTAATTGTGAACTCACCAAAGTTGGATCCACGACTGGTGAGACTAGGGTAGGCAGCAGCGCCAGGTGGCGCACTTGAAGCACCAGGAAGGGACATGGGGCTGAAGGAGGACGGAGTCGGAAAGCTGCCCACAC